CTCTTTGACAGTGTTATGCATCAAAGCCAAAAGAGGATGATGAAGCTGATAAACCTATTAGTATCTGATAGGTAGAGTGAAATGGTTTGCCTACAAATGCTGACATGTTTCTATGGAAATCATCAGATGGTTAACATGCATGCATAGGAATCCGTTTGTGCACATACACTACCATTCAGACATTTGGGGTTGGTAAGATTTTTTCAAGTTTTTGAAAGACGTCTCTTATTCTTACAAAGACTGATTTAACAAATAAATAAATATTTCAAACAAATAAATCTGTCTCTGAAAATCTCTGAGTTTCCTTTGTTGACTTTGTCAGTATGCACATATTTATTGTGCAGTAAATTCACTCGTGTGTTGCACACTATTAATACACTGAATAGTGGCATGCACGGGAGGTGGAGGTGGGGGGATACGAGCACTGTTCCTTAATCGACAACGTTAAAGTGCCCTTTCGGCCCTATCGATGTGCCCCAAGAACGCGATTTCTACCGAGGGTTATCCCACCTGCCCTGGGAGCGTGATTTCTCCCCTGCCCTTGCAAAAGTCTGTGCACGCCTCTGACACTGAAGTATAATCTGGTTTCATAACAGGGCAAGTATGGCTAAAGCAGGCCAGGCAGCTGGCTGAAAAATACTGCAATCTAAACTTGTTCTAAATATGGTCTGGAAAACAGGACTTTCCCACAACCTGACCACCTAGATCTGTATATGCTATTCTACTCTTTAAGGGGATAGTGATACCAATAACAGAATCAGGACTGATTAGGCTTATAAATGCAAGCCTGAAAAGACATCAGAGAAAAGTTTCTTAATCATTACTGTGTAGCTTACTGGCAAAACATAATATAAGACATTTCCAACTCAAAACTGTAACCTATATGCCACATTAAATGCAGTCTGTGATTTTTTTATCCATACTTTGTTGGAGAAGATTCCTCTTGTCACAGGGGCAGTATTGGCAGTTGTGTAGAAATGTATAGCTTAACTATGTCTACAGGATAAAAGTGAAAGTGTGTTTTTTCGCTCTATTTATGTAATAAAATACTGGGCGAATTCCAAACAGAAGTGAGCATCCATGCATCACTTGCATCGCAACATGCATCGCAAGACCATTGCATGTTCCCTTCGCTAACGGACTTGAAGGGCTCTTCGTGAAGGGATTCAGTTGTTCACTTTAATTTGGAACGTTCCTACATATGGCGTCCCCTTCCTGAAGTGCCCTTCTACAGACATCCCACCCTGCAAAAACTCATTTCAGGGAGGTAGTACCACCCCCAACAGCACCCCCCTCTCTATGACACGTTTGATTAAGTAAACTACTTTAATAGAACATTTTTGAGCACATATTTGAATTATTTACAGTACACACATACATACATACATTCATTACTTTAGTATTATGTTTTGCACTAAAATCAATTTTGCATTTAAAATAAGTTTTTGGATTTGTGCAGACCTCTTTTGTGCCTGCAACGTTTCACTAGCTTTCTCACCTGATGCCTGCCCTCAGTGCTCTCTAAATGCCAAACGGCTTGCTTGCTCAACACAACCCAGCATTACAATATGCCATAATTCCAGCCTATCAGAGACAAGGCTGCTAAATTCTGATTGGCTGCCTTGACAACCAATAACAACATTCCTCGACAGCAGAAGAGGAAAAATACAGTGCATGCTTAATTATTATGCAAGTTGATATTCTGATCATATTTTTTTCCCAAGCACATTTTACCAATCCCAAACGGCATCAATCTTAATACCTACTATTAATCTTGTATTTAATCATTTATAATTGATATACAATTATTATATATATTAATTATGAAGGCTGGAAGTGAAAAAGGTTTAATATTCAGGTGCGCATAATTATTAAGCAGATTTTCTTTTACAGATAAAATGAGCCAAAAAAAGAGATTTAACTCAGACTGAAAGTGAAAAATTATTAAATGCCCATGAGAAATATTCAAAACTAATACAATACTAGAAATTGCAAAGTTAATGCATAACCATTGGACAGCAAAATGCTCAGTGGGTCAGCAGGGTCAGTCAAAAACATGTGGAGAAGAAAAGATGCATGTTAACGGCAAAAGAATGAGGAATTAAGCTGAAGAATTAGGTGTGAAATCACCAGAATTAGTCTCCAGCGCCACCATTTTCCAGAACTGCAACCAACCTGGAGTCTCCAGAAGTACAAGCTGTCAGGTTCTCAGAGACTTAGGTTAAGTATAGAATCCTAAAAAATTACCCCTACTTAATAAGAATAACATACTGAAGTGTAGTAAAATACTTGAAGACTGATATATATACGCTTTATAGACAGATAAGTTGAGAGTGACTCTTGAAGGACCAACACCACATCCTCTTGTACCACTGTTTGAAGAATTTATCTTCCAGAATCTGGCAGTAAGTTTTCGGAGTTCATTTTTAGTCCATCTCGAGATTTTATCTGTAGAAGATAACCTGCTTAATAATTATGCACACCTGAATA